ATGAGTTTGAGGAATTGACAGAAGCAGGCTTCAGAAGGTGGGTAAAAACAAACCTCTGAGCTAAAGGAGCATGTTCTAACCCAATGAAAGGAAACTAAGAACCTTGAAAAAAGGTTAGACAAAATGCTTGCTAGAATAACCAGTATAGAGAAGAACATAAACGACTTGTTGGAGCTTAAAAACACAGTATGATAACTTCATGAAGCACATACAAGTTTCAATAGTTCAATCTGTCAAGCGGAAGAAAGGATATCAGAGATTGAAGATCATCTCAATGAAATAAAGTGAGAAGGCAAGATTAGGGAAAAAAGAGTGAAAAGAAATGAACAAAACCTCCGAGAAATATGGGATTATGTGAAAAGACCAAATCTACATTGGATCAGTGCACCTGAAAGTGACAGGGAGAATGAAACCAAGTTGGAAAACACTCTTCAGGATATTACCCAGGAGAACATCCCTAACCTAGCAAGGCAGGCCAACATTCAAATTCAGGAAATAGAGAGAACATCACAAAGATACTCCTTGAGAAGAACAACCCCAAGGCACATAATCATCAGATTTACCAGGGTTGAAATGAAGGGAAAAATGGTAAGTGCAGCCAGAGAGAAAGGTCAGGTTACTCACAAAGGGAAGCCCATCAAACTCACAGCAGATCTCTCGGCAGAAACCCTGCAAGCCAGAAGAGAGTGGAGGCCAATATTCAACATTGTTAAAGAAGAGAATTTTCAACCCAGAATTTCATATTCAGCCAAACTAAGCTTCATAAGGAAAGGAGAAATAAAGTCCTTTATGGACAAGCAAATGATGAGAGATTTCATCACCACCAGACATGACTTTACAAGAGTTCCTGATGGAAGCACTAAAGATGGAAAGGAACATCCAGTACCAGCCACTGCAAAAACATACCAAATTGTAAAGAGCATTGACACAATGAAGAAACTGCATCAACTAATGGGCAAAACAACCAGCTAGCATCAAAATGGCAGGATCAAATTTGTACATAACAATATTAACCTTAAATGTAAGTGGTCTAAATGCTCTAATCAAAAGACAGACTAGCAAATTGGATAGAGAGTCAAGACCCGTTGGTGTGCTGTATTCAGGAGACCCATCTCATGTGCAGAGACACACATAGGCTCAAAATAAAGGGATGGAAGATTTACCAAGCAAATGGAGAGCAAAAAAAAGCAGGGGTTGCAATCCTAGTCTCTGATAAAACAGACTTTAAACCAACAAAGAGCAAAAGAGACAAAGAAGGGCATTACATAATGGTAAAAGGATCAATGCAACAAGAAGAGCTAAACTATCCTAAATATATATACACCCAATATAGGAGCACCAGGTACATAAAGCAAGTTCTTAATGACCTACAAAGAGACTTACACTCCCACACAATAATATCGGGAGGCTTTAACACCCCATTGTCAATATTTGACAGATCAATGAGACAGAAAATTAACAAGGATATCCAGGACTTGAGCGCAGTTCTGGACCAAATGTATCTAATAGACATCTATAGAACTTTCCACCCCAAATCCACAGAATATACATTCTTCTCAGCACCACATCACACTTATTCTAAAATTGACCACATAATTGGAAGTAAAACACTCCTCAGCAAATGCAAAATAATGGAAATCATAACAGTCTCTTAGACCACAGTGCAATCAAATTAGAACTCAGGATTAAGAAACTCACTCGAGGGGCATCAAAGATGGCTGAATAAACTCCAGTGCACAACACTCAGTGAGAGAGATGCAGAAATCCAGAGATCTCCTGGCTCCAGCTGAGGTACCAGGTGCATTTCAATGGGTCTAGTCCGACAGTGAGCATAGCCCACTCAGGACAGACCTAGGTGGGGAGGGGTGCTGCTTCACCCAGAAAGTGCACCTGACTGGCAATTCGGAGGCTCCCTCTCTGGCACTCCAGTCCAGATACAGGGCTTCCCCCAAAGCCTCAGCAATACACAGAACAGGGGATCTTTGCCAGTCAAGTGCCAGGAATTACAAGCACAGAGTTGAACAATAATTTAGGATGGTGTCCTGGATTGGCACACAGACATAAACAGAAGCATAAGCCCAAAAGGCTGCCAGGAGAACCTGCAGACTGAGCTATTGCCCCTTCCCCCCACCCAGAGAGAGAGGGAGCTATAAGCCAGAGCAGCTGGGCTGGCCCCTACCCCATGACTGGAGAGAGAAGAAGCTGAAAGGGGGAGGCGGCCGGCCGGGTGCTGCTGGGCAGGTCCTTACCCTCCCCCACAAACCCCAGATTGCTGAAGCTCTGACTCTAGTGGGTTGTGCAGCCAGTGCCACAGTCTGAGATGAACCCTCAATGATCCAGCCCAGTGGAGGAAGGGCACAACCCACCATTAGAGGGGTGGGACTGGGCTACATGTTTTAATAAAAAACACAGGAAATCTATGTAGCAACGGGACAGCATTCTTGACAACCCAGTAGGGCCACTAGGTCAGTGGAAGAGGCAGGCCTAATCTCCCAGTACAAACAAAAAAGACACAGGAAGCTTCCCTAGTAACCTGAAGGAGTCCCAAGAAACCCAGTAGCGCTTCCACAGGCAGACAAGTGACCTCTTCAAGCAGCTCCCTGACAACACAGCCAGGTAAACCTACAAAGATGGGATAAAAACAGCACAAAAAAGATGAAACCATCAAAGACCAAAACACCTTTTCTCTTTCAAGGGATCACAACTCCTCAACAACACAGGATCACATCATGACTGAGAAGCAGTGTGACAAATTGACAGAAACAGGCTTCAGAAGGTGGATAATAACAAACTTTTCTGAGCTAAAGGAACACGTCCTAACTCAATGCAAAGAAACCAAAAACCTTGTAAAAAGGTTAGACAAAATGCTAACTAGAATAACCAGCTTAGAGAAGAACATAAATGACTTGATGGAGTTAAAAAACACAGCATGAGAACTATGTGAAGCAGACACAAGTGTTAATAGCTGAATTGACCAAGCAGAAGAAAGGATATCAGAAATCGAAGATCAACTCGATAAAATAAAAAGAGAAGGCAAGACAAGAGCGAAAGCAATGAACAAAGCCTCCAAAAAATATGGGATTATGTGAAAAGACCTAATCTATGCTTGATCGGTATACCTGAATATGATGGGGAGAATGAATCCAAGCTGGAAAACACGCTCCAGGATATCCAGGAGAACTTCCCAAGCCTAGCAAGGCAGTCCAACATTCAAATTCAAGAAATACAGAGAACTCCACAAAGATATTCCTCAAGAAGAGCAACCCCAAGGCACATAATCGTCAGATTCACCAGGGTTTAAATGAAGGAAAAAATGCTAAGGGCAGCCAGAGAGAAAGGTCAGGTCACCCACAGAGGGAAGCCAATCAGACTCACAGCAGATCTCTTGACAGAAACCCTACAAGCCAGAAGAGAGTGAAGGCCAACATTCAACATTCAAAAGAAAAGAACTTTCAACCCAGAATCTCATATCCAGCCAAACTAAGCTTCATAAGTGAAAAAGAAATAAAATTCTTCACAGACTAGCAATTACTGAGAGATTTTGTCACCACCAGACCTGCCCTACAAGAGCTCCTGAAAGAAACACTAAGCACAGAAAGGAACAAGTACCAGTCACTGCAAAAGCAAACCAGTGGGCAAAGACCAAAAATGCAATGAAGAAAATGAGTCAACTAATGGGAAAGAAAACCAGCCAGTAACAAAATGGCAGGATCAAATTCATACATAACAATAGTAACATTGAATGTAAATGGCCTAAATGCCCCAATAGAAAGACACAAACTGGCAAACTGGATAAAAAGTCATAACCCATTGGTGTACCATATTCAGGAAATCCATCTCACATACAAAGACACACATAGACTCAAAATAAAGGGATGGAAGAAGTTTTAGCAAACAAATGGAGAACACAAAAAGCAGGGGTTGCAATCCTAGTATCTGATAAAATGGACTTCAAACCAACAAAGATCAAAAGAGACATAGAAGGACACTACATAATGGTAAAAGGATCAATCCAACAAGAAGAGCTAACTATCCTAAATATATACACACCCAACACAGGAGCACCCAGATACATAAAGCAAGTTCTTAATCACCTAAAATGAGATTTAGACTCCCACACAATAATAGTGGGAAACTTCAACACTCCACTGTCAATATTAGATCAACAAGACAGAAAATTAACAAGGATATCCAGGACTTGAATGCAGACCTGGACCAAGCAGATCTAATAGACACTACAGAAGGATCCACCCCAAATCCACAGAATATAAATTTTTCTCAGCACCACATTGCACTTACTCTAAAATTGACCATATCATGGGAAGCAAATCACTCCTCAGCAAATGCAAAAGAATGGAAATCATAACAGTCTATCAGACCACAGCGCAATCAGACTAGAACTCAGGATTAAGAAACACACTCAAACCCGCACAACCACTTGGAAACTGAACAACTTGTTTCTCAGTGTCAACTGGATAAACAATGAAATGAAAGCAGAAATAAAGATGTTCTTCAAAACCAATCAGAATGAAGACCCAACCTACCAGAATCTCTGGGACACCTTTAAAGCAGTGTTGACAGGGAAATTTATAGCAATAAATGCCCACATGAAAAGGAGAGATCTAAAATTGACACACTATCAACAAAATTGAAAGGGCTAGAGGAGGAAGATAAAAAAAAAAAAAAAACAAAACTCAAAAGCTAGCAGAAGATGAGAAATAACTAAGATCAGAGCAGAACTGAAGGAGATAGAGACACAAAAAACCCTTCAAAAAATCAATAAATCCAGGAGCTGGTTTTTTTGAAAAGACCAACAAAATAGACTGCTAGCCAAATGAATAAAAAAGAAAAGGGAGAAGAATCAAATAGATGCAATAAAATATGATAAAGGGGCTATCACCACTGATCCCACAGAAATACAAACTACCATCAGAGATTACTACAAACAACTCTATGCACATAAACCAGTAAACCAGGAAGAAATGGATAAATTCCTAGACACTTGTACACTCCCAAGACTAAACCAGGAGGAAGTTGAAACCCTGAATAGACCAATAACAAGGGATGAAGTAGAGTCATCAATTAATAGCCTTCCAACCAAAAAAAGTCCAGGTCCAGACGGATTCACAGCCACATTCTACCAGACGTAACAAGAGGAGCTGGTTCCATTCCTTCTGAAACTATCAAACAATACAAAAGGAGGGAATCTTCCCTAACTCATTTTATGAAACCAACATCATCCTGATACCATTACCAGGCAGAGACTCAACTAAAAAAGAAAACTTCAGGCCAATATCCATGATGACCATTGACACAAAAATTTTCCATAAAATACTGGCAAACAGATGGCAACAGCATATCAAGAAGCTTATCCATCATAATCAAATAGGCTTCATCCCAGGGATGCAAGGCTGGTTCAATATATGCAAATCCATAAACATAATGCATCACATAAATGGAACCAAAGACAAAAACCACGTGATTATCTAAATAGATGCAAAGACCTTCAACAAAATTCAACAGCCCTTTATGCTAAAAACTTGCAATAAACTAGGTATTGATGGAACGTGTCTCAAAATAATAAAAGCTATATATGACAGACCTACAGCCAATATCATACTGAATAAACAAAAGAGGGAAGAATTCCCATTGAAATCTGGCACTAGACAAGGATTCCCTCTCTCACCACTCCTATTCAGTATAGTATTGGAAGTTCTAGCCAGAGCAATCAGGCAAGAAAAAGAAATAAAGGGTATTCAATTAGGAAAGGAGGAAGTCAAACTGTCTCTATTTGCAGATGACATGATTATATATTTACAAGACCCCATTGTCTCAGCCCAAAATCTTCTGAAACAGATAAGCAACTTCAGCAAAGTCTCAGGATACAAAATCAATGTGCAGAAATTATAAGCATTCCTATATACCAATAACAGACAAACAGAGAGCCAAATCAAGAGCAAACTACCATTCACAACTGCTACAAAGAGAATAAAATACCTAGGAATACAATTAACAAAGGAAGTAAAGGACCTCTTCAAGGGGAACTACAAACCACTGCTCAACGAAATAAGAAAGGACACAAACAGATGGAAAAACATTCATGCTCATGGTTAGGGAGAATTAATATAGTGAAAATGGCCATACTGCCCAAAGTGATCTATAGATTTAATGCTATTCCCATCAAGCTACCAATGACCTTCTTCACAAAACTGGAAAAAAACACTTTAAACTTCATGTGGAATCACAAGAGAGCCTGTATAGCCAAGACAATCCTAAGCAAAAAGGACAAACCTGGGGGCATCACACTGCCAGACTTCAAACTATACTACAAGGCTACAGTAATCAAAACAGCACAGTACTGGTACTGGAACAGAACAGAGGCCCCAGAAGAAATACCACACATCTACAACCATCTGATCTCTGACAAACCCTTACAAAAACAAGCAATGGGGAAGGACTCCATGTTTAATAAATGGTGTTGGGACAACTGGCTAGCAATGTGCAGAAAGCAGAAACTGGACCCCTACCTATCACTTACACTAAAATTAACTCCAGATGGATTAAAGACTTAAGCATAAAACCTAACACCATAAAAACACTAAGAGAAAACATGGGCAAAACCATCCAGGACATAGGCATAGGCAAGGACTTCATGAGTAAACACCAAAAGCAATGGCAATAAAAGGCAAGATAGAAAAATGGGATTTAATTAAAATTCAGAGCTTCTGTACAGCAAAAGAAACCATCATAAGAGTGAATCTGCAACCAACAGAATGGGAAAAAATTTTTGCAACCTACCCATCTCACAAAGGGCTAATATCTAGAATCTACAAAGAACTAAAACAGGTATACAAGAGAAAAAACAAATAACCCCATTCAAAAGTGGGTGAAGGATATGAACAGACACTTTACAAAAGAAGACATATATGAGGCCAACAACATGAAAAAATGCTCATCATCACTGGTCATTAGAGAAACGCAAATCAAAACCACATTGAGATATCATCTCACGCCAGTTAGAATGGCGATCATTAAAAAACCTGGAGACAAGAGATGCTGGAAAGGATGTGGAGAAATAGGAACACCCTTACACAGTTGGTGGGAGTGTAAATTAGTTCAACCACTGTGGAAGACAGCTTGGCAATTTTTCAAGGATCTAGGAATATTCCATTTGACCTAGCAATCCCATTACTGGGCATATACCCAAAGAGCTATAAATCGTTCTACTATAAAGACACATGCACACATATGTTCACTGCAGCCCTGTGTACAATAGCAATGACCTGGAACCAACCCAACTGCCCATCAATGACAGACTGGACAAAGAAAATATGGTACATATACACCATTGAATACTATGCAGCCATAAAAAACGATGAGTTCATGTCCTTTGTGGGGACTTGGATGAATCTGGAAACCATCATTCTCAGCAAACTGACACAAGAATGGAAAGCCAAACACTGCATGTTCTCACTCATAGGTGAGTGTTGGACAATGAGAACACATGGACATAGGGAGGGGAGCATCACACACTGGGGGCAGCTGAGGGGGGTAGGGGAGAGACAGTGAGGGTTGGGGAGGGAAGGAAGGGTGGGGAGAGATAACATGGAGAGAAATGCCAGATATAGTATGCACCTAAAGTTAAATAAATTAATTAAAAAAAAAATCTCACTCAGAACCACACAACTATAAGGAAACTGAACAACCTGCTCCTGAATGACTACTGGATAAATAAAGTAATGAAGGCAGAAATAAAGATGCTCTTTGAAACTAATGAGAATGAAAATGCAACATAACAGAATTTCTGGGACACATTTGAAGCAGTGTCTAGGGGGAAATTTATAGCACTAAATGCCCACAAGAAAAGTGAGGAAAGATCTAACATTGACACCCTAATGTCATGATTAAGAGAACTAGAGGAGCAAGATCAAACAAATTCAAAAGCTAGCAGAAGACAATAAATAATTAAGAGCAGAACTGAAGGAGATAGAGACACACACACACAAAAACCCTTCAAAAAGTCAATTAATCTGGGGGTTGATTTTTTGAAAAGATCAACAAAATATATAGACCGCTAACCAGACTAATAAAAGAGAGAAGACTCAAATAGATGCAATAAAAAATGCTAAAGGGGATATCACCACTGATCCCACAGAAATACAAACTATGATCAGAGATTACTACAAAAACCTCTATGCAAATAAACCAGTAAATCTAGAAGAAAACTTACACCTTCACAATGCTAAACAGGAACAAGTTGAATCCCTTAATAGACCAATAACAAGATTTAAAATTGAGGCAGCAATAAGTAGCCTACCAACCAATAAAAGTCCAGGACCAGATAGGTTCACAGCCGAATTCTACCAGAGGTACAAAGAGGAGCTAATATCATTCCTAATGAAACTATTCCAAACAATACAAAAAGAGGGAATCCTCTCTAACTCATGAGACCGACATCATCCTAGTACCAAAACCCAGCAGAGACACAATGAAAAAACAAAATTTCAGGTCAATATCCATGATGAACATTGATGCAAAAATCCTCAATAAGATAATGGCAAACAAAATCCAACAGCAGATCAAAAAGTTTATCCATCACAATCAAGTCGGCTTCATCCCTGGGATGCAAGGCTGGTTCAACATATGCATATCTATAAATGTAATCCATCACATAAACAGAACCTAAGACGAAAACCACATGATTATCTCAATAGATGCAGAGAATGCATTTGACAAAATTCAACAGCCCTTTATGCTAAAAATTCTCAACAAACTAGGTATCCATGGCATGTACCTCAAAATAATAAGAGCTATATTTATGACAAACCCACAGCCAATATCATGCTGAGTTGGCAAAAACTGGAAGCATCTCCTTTGAAAACTGGCCTGGCGTGGTGGCTCTCGCCTATAATCCTAGCACTTTGGGAGGCTGAGGCTGGCAGATCACGAGGTCAAGAGATTGAAACCATCCTGGCCAACATGGTGAAACCCCGTCTCTACTAAAAAATACAAAAATTAGCTGGGTATGGTGGTGCATGCCTGTAGTCCCAGCCAATCAGGAGGCTGAGGCAAGAGAATTACTTGAACCCAGGAGGTGGAGATTGCAGTGAGCCAAGATTGTGCCACTGCACTCCAGCCTGGTGCCTGACGACTCTGTTTCAAAACAAAACAAAACAAACAAACAAAAAAGAAAACTGGCACAAGACAAGGATGCCCACTCTCACCACTTCTATTCAACAGAGTAGTGGAAGTTATGGCCAGGGCAATAGGTAAGAAAAAGAAATAAAGGGTATTCAATTAGGGAGGAAAGGAGGTAGTCAAATTATCTGAATTTGCAGATTGCATGATTGTATATTTAGAAGACCCCATCATCTCAGCCCAAAATCTCCTTAAACTGATAAGCAACTTCAGCAAAGTCTCAGGATACAAAATCAATGTGCAAAAATCACAAGCATTCCTATACACGAATAACGAGCAGGGAGCAAAATCATGAGTGAACTTCCATTCCATTCACAATTGCTACAAAGAGAATAAAATACCTGGGAATACAACTAACAAGGGATGTGAAGGAACTCTTCAAGGATAACTGCAAACCACTGCTCAAGGAAATAAGAGAGAACACAAGCAGATGGAAAAACCTTCCACGCTCATGGTTAGGAATAATTAACATCATGAAAATGGCCATACTGCCAAAAGTAATTTCTAGATTCAATGCTATCCCCATCAAGCTACCATTGACTTTCTTTACAGAATTGGAAAAAAATAAAATAAAATAAGCCTGCACAGCCCAGACAATCCTGAGCAAAAAAAAAAAAAAAAAAAAAAAAAAACAAAGCTGAAGGCATCATGCTACCTGACTTCAAACTACACTGCAAGGCTATAGTAATCAAAACAGCATGGTACTGGTACTAAACAGAGATATAGACCAATGGAAAATAACAGAGGCCTCAGAAACAATGTCACACATCTACAACCATCTGAACTTTGACAAACCTGACAAAAACAAGCAATGGGAAAAGGATTCCCTATTTAATAAATGATGTTTGGAAAAGTGGCTAGCTATATGCAGGAAGATGAAACTGGATCTTTTCCTTACACCTTATACAAAAATTAACTCCAGATGGATTAAAGATTTAAACCTAAGACCTAACACCATAAAAACCCTAGAAGAAAACCTAGGAAATACCATTCAGGACATAGGCATGGGCAAGGACTTCATGACTAAAACACCAAAAGCAATGGCAACAAAAGCCAAAATAGACAAATGGGATCTAATTGAACTAAAGAGCATCTGCACAGCAAAAGAAAGTAACATTAGAATGAACTGGCAACCAAAAGAATGGGAAAAAATTTTTGCAATCTACCCATCTGACAAAGGGCGAATATCCAGAATCTACAAATAACTTAAAGAAATTTACAAGAGAAAAACAACCCCATCAAAAAGCGGGCAAAGGATATGAACAGACACTTCTCAAAAGAAGACATTTATGCAGCCAATGGGAAAAAAAGAAAAAGCTCCTCATCACTGGTCATTAGAGAAATGCAAATCAAAACCACATTAAGATACCATCTCATGCCAGTGAGAATGGTGATCATTAAAAAATCAAGATATCAGATGCTGGAGAGGATGTGGAGAATTATGAAAACTTTTACACTGTTGCTGGGAGTGTAAATTAGTTCACCCACTGTGGAAGAAAGTATGGCGATTCATCAAGGATCTAGAACTAGAAATTCCATTTGACCCAGCAATCCCATTACTGGGTATATACCTAAAAGAATTATAAATCATTCTATTATAAAGACACATTCACACGTATATTTATTATGGCACTATTCACAACAAAGACTTAGAACCAACCCAAATGCCTGTCAGTAATAGACTGGATAAAGACAATGCGGCACATTTACACCATGGAATACTATGCAGCCAAAAAAAGGATGAGTTCATGTCCTTTGCGGTGACATGGATGAAGCTGCAATCCATCATTCTCAGCCAACTGACACAAGAACAGAAAACCAAACACTGCATGTTCTCACTTATAAGTGGGAGTTGAACAATGAGAACACATGGACACAGGGAGGGGAACATCACTCACCGGGGCCTGTCGGGGTGTGGTGCTAGGATAGGGATAGCAGGGTGAGGGGGTATTGGGGAGAGATAGCATTAGGAGAAATACCTAATGTAGATGACGGGGCGATGGATGCAGCAAACCACCATGGCACGTGTGTACCTATGTAACAAACCTACACGTTCTGCACATGTACCCCAGAACTTAAAGTATAATAAATAAATAGTTTAAAAAAGAACATATAAGAAAATGCAGGAAAATGTGTTTTATTGTAGTTTAGGTACCTGTAGGTGGGACAGAGCGTACTAAATTTTAACCTTTCTCTCTCTAGATTCCAATTTATAAAAATAATAGTGACAAGGTATTTATAACCAAATGGGAATCAAGGATTCCAGAGAATTATAGCCTTTTGGAAAATGGTAGCAGTAGGTAGAAGACCTCTTCCTCCCCACCCTGACTACAAGACTCCTGGGCTTGCTAGCTGTAAACTGTAACAGACAATATCGAAATAGCTGGGACTCCTGGAGTCAGGCCTTGCCTTGTTTGCTTAGCAAATGCAACCCTTGTGAAGTTTAAGGACAGAAGGTCTTCAATGTCAGTGCCCAATGTCAAACCCAAGCAGGTTTAAAAATTTGAGTAGTGTTCATTAGTACATTAATCCTCTCCCCTCACTTTTCACAGACAGATGGCCCAATGAAAGCCAGGATACTTGTGACTCCGAGTAGCCCTGTCTTACAATGGGAGAAGAAGAAAGGAGCAGGCAGGGGAGCAGGGCACCTTATCAGGCAAATAGGCTGTTTCTCTTATTTTTAAGGAGAAATAAGAAGGTTTGGAGAAGAACACAAAGTTTCTCTTCCCAGAAGTAGCATTTAGAGATGTTTACCACCCTTAAAGTACAATTGACATGGTAGACTAAAATGCCTTAAGATTGATGCAAAATTTATAGCTTGAAATTCGATGACTTATGAGGACACCTGAGGCTATTGTGTCTAAGTAAATGCAGCTACTCTCTTTTTGTTCATTTTTTGAAGATCAAAAGGTAGAGTATTATACAAAGTTCCCCATACATATTTCTTATTTCTCTCATAGCCTTAAAAGCTGCTTGCCTGTCAGAAGTGTAGATGATTATGTGACACTTCTATATCCGCCCCAAGATAACCTGAGCACAGACCAGTTACTTAATAATAAATATATTTAAGAATAATATTCTGGTTCACATGGAAACTAGACAGAGGACATTTCATTCTGTCTGACATCCCTGAATGGACCAGAGACAAAGTAGAGATGAGAGCTCAGGCTTCTTCAAACCCATTCTTTTTAACTTTATACTTACGGGTAAAGGAATGGAAAATGAAGTAGGAAATAGGAAAAAGTGGGAGAAGATGTGAGTTAATAGTGAAATCAAAACTATGCTATGTGTTGGCCTCTGATCTGACCCCGATGAGGTTTTTATATTCCATTTCAGCTGCATCCTAATGTTTCTCACCAAAAAAAAAAAAAAAAAAAGAAAAGAAAATCATTTTACATGGGAAAACCTTTTGAAGAGAGATGCTAGCAGGAGTCTGCACCTGGCAGTCATATATTATGTACCTAATGAGTAAATGAAATGTTTAATAACTATACTGCGAAAATGAAGCTTAAAACAGTAAATTCCTGCTGAGACTGCTCATCTGCACCTGATGCACACTGCTAGCCCATCTCAGAACTCAAGTTCATTTATATTTACCCCTCTTAGTGGGTCCTGCTGAGGAGATAACATTAAAACCAAAATGATGCTCACTTAATTAGTTGTATATCAGTGTAAGAACGTTTATTTAGCACATCAACAGCCAGCGTTCCACAGAAGGGTCGCCTGAAACTTCTCCAATATGCACCCTGGGTAGGGGAAATTCTACAGTAGCTTCAGATTGAGCATTCATAAATTTAAATTTTTCAATTAGCCATGGATCATTTAAACTTAGAACATAATACCACTTATTTTTACTTAGAATATCTGTTTGAAATACAAAAGCAATAAAACCTTAATTGTTGGTATAGCTTTTCACTAATAATTTTAAGAAAAAAAATGATACAACATTTACTTTTTACAAAGCACTGGTTTAAAACTCAATTATTGCAATTTGAGTTAAGCTTTAACTTGTTGGAGATTCCTTTGGATTCAATTAACTAATTCTTCCTAAATCTTAAGGAGAGGCAAGAAGCCCAAATGTAAAATTAAGCACAGGTAGAATAGCTATATTATCCTTCCTTGTGAAATTTTCATAGCTAATAACTTAAAAATTAAATTTTTTACATTTATAGATATAAAGACCCCCAAATCCAAAGAAATTAGACCATTGAACAAAGGTCACAAAACTAGGTCCTAGGCTAGAATGCTTCTTTAATATTTGGATATTTGTTTGAGCACTCATTCAGTACTTTGAATTCATTGTATAGATCACACAGAGTTTACTGTCATGGAAACAATAATAAT